TGAACAAACGGACATGGTCCTTATCTTTGTGGAGCTTACGTTCTTATGACAGCTTGGAACTGACACTCTCGGTAGAGACTGTGAGCTAATCACCTGTTCTGACCTATAGTGAATACTCATTTTTGGTGATGAGTTGATTTCACCGTCATCACCAAAAACAGTTCTAAATGGTGAACTCTTATTTTCTTTACAATAGATTATCCAATTATAAAAGATGAATAGTAAGAAAATAATTGGGCCCAAAGAAAATGTCACAAATTCCTCTCAATTTATATTTGGCACTCTGCGAGAATACAGTGAGTATATGGGGAAAAATCTATATGGGCTTGTAATTGACTTGACATATTATTGAGACTTTAAATTGCTAATTATAATGTAACACATTGCTGTTCATCACTCCCACTTATTTATGTTGTTTCTGTACATTCTAGTGGGAACCAAAGCTAGAGAATCTGAATATTCACACATAGCCAATCCATTACATGGGTTAACCACAATTAGGCTGCAGTGTCAGTGTTGGTGATGCTACTCTGATTCAATTGTGTAGCATTAATAATATGGACATATAATTTATTGTTCAAACTTAGACAGTTTTTGATGATGAAAGGGGACACCCCAAATATAAGAGATCTAATTCCACCTAATCTTGGCATTTTGAAATAGCGAATTACCAGGCTACTCATCTATTTCCCCCTTTTCAAGTTCTCCATCAAGCAAGTTCATCATAACTAGGTCAAATGATTTCTTGACACTTTCATAAGGGGATTCTGCCCTTATATCCTCTCCCACTTTGGTAGTGGAGGTGGTGGGGGATTAGACCCCTATCTTTTTTTTTAACAAAAGGGGGAAGACCTTGAAGGCTTCTAGCCTCTAACTTTTAAAACCTACAGGCTGGCTAACTGCCCAGCCTCTTCTGGGCTCCCATGCCAACTGTGATTGTCTCTATCTTATACCTTACTATATATTTAAAATTATTTATGTTCTATCACCTTAAATAAGCTTTATGCTTCTATAGGGGAGCGGTCATGTTTTATTCATATGTAACCTCTCTGTACCTCTGGTTGCTCATCTTTAAAATACATGCAATAGTACTAACTTCATAGAATTTTATAAAGATAAAATTAACTAAAACATTTGGAATCCTTATAATAGTGCCTGGCACATAGTAAGCTCACAGTAGTGTTAGCTCAATATTATTATCACCATTACTTGTTATCATGGTACCTATAGTCAATGTCATATACACAAAACATGTATGTTAAATATTATAATACACCAAACATTTACTACTGTTTTCTATATTCAAGAGACGCTATCCACTACAAAGATGAATCAGGAACCCAGTTTTAGTAAGGATGGGGAATAGGAATGAGACATGCACATAAATAATTATAATACAAAATAGTAATAGGTGATGTAAGAGGTAAAGATATAGCAATATGGTTATTTTTTAATAAAAAATGTTTTCTGATTAAAAGGATCTGGGAAGATTGTAGGAGTGAGATGAAATTTAGTTGAATCTTGAGGAAGATATAAGGTTTAGATATGTTCTCATTTGTGTTAGAGGTGAAGATATTCCAAGGATGACTATGTAAGTAAAGGTGGAAAAGGAAACTCTTGAGGTTTGCTTAGGGTAATGGCAAGTATTGTCTAGGAGTTAAGCTTGGAGAAGCCTTGAAAGGTGGTCTGGAACTAGGTAGTGGAAAGGTCTTGAATGTCAGACCACAGATTTTCTATTACATTTGCTTTAGGTCCCATTTAAGAAAGCATCTTGGTTTTTAAAATTGTGAATGAAAATCATGAAAATTCATGAACTAGGGGACTCTCCCTGTTCTTGTTCACTATAGGTAATGGGGAGGTGTTTACATAAGAAATCATCCTGGAGTAGATGGATCACCTCTGCCTCTGAGGCAGGACCCTCAGGTTCTGAGCCTGGTTCTGCTCCACTATGTGACTCTTATCAAGTCAAGCACCCTCCCTGCCTCTCCATCTATAAAATAGTAGCTATTAAGGATGTAGATAGATGGGCTCTAAAGCTGTTTTCTTTTCTAAAACTTTTAGGAGGGAAAGTGTTAGGACCAGAAGATATTTATCCCAATGAAATAGACTACTATTCTTTTCTTTTTTGAGAAATCAGCCTTAGTAGTTGCTTTAATATATTTATATTTTAAACAACAAATATTTGCACTTTATAGCAAAAGAAGATAAGGAAAGAGAAGAACATAAAACCACCCATAATACTGTCCCTAACAGTTCTACACACATTCTGCTCTGATAGTTTTTGTCAGATGCCCCTTTCTGGGTCCAGCGGTACCACCAACCTAGTCCCCTTTCCTCTGGTCTCTTCCTCACCTCTTGGTTGATGTCTCTCTCATGTGTGTTCTTGGGTATACTTCTCTTTCTAACCATTCACCTCTCTGTTTTTTTTTCTTCTCTATCTTTCTCTTCATCCACCTGTCTTCATATGTACGTATACTCATCATAATATTTTACCAGATTGTGATAGTGAGAAAATAAGTATCAGGTGAGCTTCATTAAGAACACGTTTAAGGAAGTAATAGACTATTGTTCTTAAGGAACAACTCTACTCTCACCCTTAGCCTACTTCCTAAACCTATCAAAATTTAAAGAAATCCCGAGTTTAGTGATTTTTTTCGAATATTTACTTGGGCATGCAATTGAAGAGCCCGAAGGTTAGCAGACCCTGGGTTTTGGCCTCTGTAATCCCACACTCCAGGGTTTTAATTCCTTAGTGCTTCATGGAGGAAGGCTTTGTTAAACCACAGCAGTTCATCAGCAGGAGCCCTCCACTAATAAATGTCCCAGTCTGGCTGAACCGCCATGATTAATATTTGTAATCAAGGCCTTCCAGCACTGGAAAATCCCAGGATGACTTCTGAATCACCAGAAGATTGAATTAGAGTCAGCCTCAGGTTTCTTGTTGGGAGTACATTTTATTGTATTTCAGTGTTTTGAAAATTGGGATTAGAAGTCTATGGAGGGATCGTTGTGTAACGTGGAGTGTGATTAATCTGCGCATCTCTCTTCTTAGCCACTCCAGGCTACAGAGTTTTCTAGATTTGTTTTTATGCCTGAGAATAAGACTGCTATTCTCAAGGAGAGGATATTCTCTTGGGAGAATTTGGACTACTGTAAGAAAAATAGGTAGTAAACACACATTTATTTCCAATTAAACATTCTGCAGATAAACTAAATATAGTGTGGGCTTTCAAAATACACTGATAGGAAAGTGGTACTTCAAGGAACTTTTGGCTTTGCACCCTTTCCTATAGCCTTATACACAAAAACACTCGTCCTCTGCACCTTCATAGAACGATAATATTACAGTTTTAAAGTACTTATGTCAATAAGGTGCCTCCCCACTTTTGGAGACTCTACTTATTGGTAGATTGTTGGAAAAAAGCTAAAAAAAGCGCCCCAAAATGTCCTCAGTGACGTTATTTGGAGAACTTTCCAAGCCTGGAGCCTGCTCATGGAAGTTTTGGGGTGGGGGCAAAGGGGATCTCAGGGAGGCAAGAAAATTCAAGTCTGAGCAGCAAAGAAGTGGGAGAATACTAGCCTTTGTTAGCTCCAGGGCTACTCCCATCCCATCCCCCCGAAAACAAAACGAAAACAAATAGGGGAATGCAAAGAGAAATATAAACCCTGTGGGGGAAGTGGGTCCGCGAGGGGGAAGCGGACACCTGGAAAGTTACTGCAGCAGCGAGGAGAGAACCCCAAATTATGACCCTTCAGGAGGACTCCTCAATCCCCTTCTCTTTCCCCCCTCCCTTCTGCCTTCTGCACAAAACTGCATCCAGCTCGGGGGCCATACCGTAATCCATCCTGGAAAATCCTGTGGGACCGGAGGGCGCAGCCCAACCCAATCCATTTTCTAGTTTGCAAAGGAAAGTCCAGTCCGGTGTTTATTTTTTGCATTGCTTCCCAGCCGCTCAGCCGGGATAACTGGGGAC